CTTTAAGGTCGAGATGTGAAAGTTCTAAGTATAATAGGAGTAGGCCCTAAAGGCTACTCAATCTAAACCGACTCTAGGCATAGGAATTGCTTAGGGATTGATTAACGTGACTAAGAGCGGGGCTCTAGCATGTTGAAATGGTAACTAAGAGCGGGGCTCTAGCACAATGTAGATGGACTAAGAGCGGGGCTCTAGCCAATGTAAGTCAACTAAGAGCGGGGCTCTAGTAAAATGTAGATGGACTAAGAGCGGGGCTCTAGCCAATGTAAATTAACTAAGAGCGGGGCTCTAGTGTAATGTAAATGGACTAAGAGCGGGGCTCTAGCCAATGTAAATTAACTAAGAGCGGGGCTCTAGTATGATGTAAACGGACTAAGAGCGGGGCTCTATCCAATGTAGACAAATTAGGAGCGGGGCTCTAGTATGATGTAGGGAGACTAGGAGCAAGGCTCTAGCACGATGTAGGGAGACTAAGAGCATGGCTCTAGCATGATCCAATAGTATAACCGGGCGAGGCTCGGTGATGTTTATTTTACGTAATAGGGAAATGCCCAAATGACTATGAGTAAATTTACCAGAGGTTTATGACATTCGTGACAAATAGTCACGGGGGAAAAGGGGGATGGACTTACAAAATGCATACGGGTCTTCGGGCCGACTACTTGACTTTATATAAAGTAAGTATATTTTCAAAGAGGGTAACCACGGGTTACGACCTATATTATTATATCACCCTATTTGAGGGTCTTGGAAATTGAAACATTGATTATACTTAGTATAGTTGTCATTGTACTTGTCAAATGCTTCCAAGTACTGACCTCCCCTTCACGGGGGAGGCCACCTCACAGTTTCAGGTAGGAGTTGAGCTTGCTACCGGTGCCCGTTGTTTCGGGAAGATTCAGGAGGGAAGACGTGGTTCGTGCTTCCTCCGCCTCTGTTTTTTTAAAACATTTAAAATCGATGCTCATGGATATTATTTTGAATAATTATTTGGGGCTTGTATGCCCATGTTTGCCGAAGTGTGGCGTAAACACTTGTATTAAACGTTTCCGCTGATTTAAATGATTATTTTACATTATGTTTGTTTATGGATGTACTATTGTGAATGATATTCAAGACGCCTTGTATAGTATGGATGAGTTGGACTGCGGTTGACTATTCGTACTGTACGGCGGGTTGTTGACGTGTCCGGTAGGCCCGGGGCGTGACACTTTCTCCTGAGTTTCTACCCCTTTGTTTGGCCGAGAGAGAGAGAGCAAGGAGGATAGGGAAGATGCCTTCTCAATCAACACAAAATGATTGTGTGAGAGACTTAGGCATGGGTTTTGTCTCAAAGGAGACTTCCCATTCCCATCATCCGCACAAGCCACCTTGTGTGGTCCCCCTCCCCTATTTTTGTGTCTAATTAGTGTGTAGGATACCCCAAGTGGGTGTAGGAAGTCCCTCCCAATTATTCCCGTTATTTTCGGTAGGTTTCGGCCAAAATATCACTCGGGTTGTCCAAATATTTTTATCAACTTTTGTTGGCGCTTTATTGGGCTTCTATAATTTATTATGATAACCCAACTAAATATTTGGTAGCCCATCCTCATATAATGGACCCGAGAAATAATTTAATTAATCTCACATTAATTAAAAATATCAATCAATTACACGAAATTTATTCGCTAGGAATTTCAAATACAAGTCGAATTTCAATTTCAAGTACATCCGGGTGCGGTGTCACAAGGCGTCTTGAATACCATTCACACATAGTACATCCATAAACAATCATAACGTAAAATATTTAATTAAGCAGCGGAAACATAATTACAAATATTCAAGCCACACGTGGCAACCACGGGCATACAAGCCCCCAAATAAATATTCGAAATAATATCCATGAGCATTATTTAAATTGTTTTCAAAACAGAAACAGGAGCAGTACGAACCCCGCCTTCCTCCTTGAATTCCCCGAAGCAACGAGCGGTAGTAGCAAGCTCTACTCCCTACCTGAAACTGTGAGGTGGCCTCCCCCGTGAAGGGGAGGTCAGTACTTGGAAGCATTTGACAAGTACAATGACAACTATACTAAGTATAATCAAAGTTTCAATTTCCAAGACCCTCAATCCAAGATGTTATTCATTCATACTTAACTCATGTTCCTTCATGCTAGAGCTCGGCTCATAGTCATGCTAAATTGTGCTAGAGCTCGGCTCATAGTCACACTACATTTGCTAGAGCTCGGCTCATAGTCATACTAAATTGTGCTAGAGCTCGGCTCATAGTCACCCTACGTTTGCTAGAGCTCGGCTCATAGTCATACTAATTTGTGCTAGAGCTCGGCTCATAGTCACCCTACGTTTGCTAGAGCTCGGCTCATAGTCATGCTACCACGTGCTAGAGCTCGGCTCATAGTCACGTCAACTAATCCCTAAACCACTTCTTAGTCTAGGTTCCATCCATTTTGAGTAACCCTTAAGGCCTACTCCAAATGTAACTTAAGTTCATAATAATTTGAATATCTCAATTAAATTCCACATTCAAGTATAACTTGGCTCTAATATCAAAATATCACTTTTATCCTTCCATGACTTCCTTACATGAGGTAAAAGTATATTTATCACAATTTAGTTTATAGTTTACACAACTATTATACCATTGTATTCATAACACATAATCATACACAATTTATTCATAAATTTGTATATTATGCATTTTTGCTTATAAACAATAAAAATCTCATTTAGGCATTTTATTATTATAAATACATCATGCCAAACACATATAATTCATTTAGGTAATCTTATGAAATTAACCCAATAATTATAAGCAATATAGTCGGTCATCCTCACCTTAAGTGAGCTTAAGCGTGTTCTACGCTCCGCGGTTGAACTTTGACTAATTCCGGTGAACTTTGACCAACTCCGGCCAACTTTGACCAACTCCGGCGAAACTCCGGCGAAGCTCAAAGATACTCTAAATCAAGTTCCTAGCCTTTCCTCAAGTTTTGTACACTTTTGGAACTTAAACTTTTTCCTAGAGCTTCCTTCTTGTTGGAGCTTCCTTCAACAATGGAAAGGGAGGGAGATGGTTTTTCTGGTCTCTCCTTGGTGTGGGTTGGCCGAGAATGAGGTAGGGGAAGGGTGGAGATGACCCTTTTTGTCTCATTGATCAAATGAGAGTGGATGGGATCCACCCCTTTTTGTTTGATCCCTTTTCTATCAATTCACAATCCCTCACCCATGTCTCCCTCTCAATTCAGCCGACCAATGTGTTGAAAAATGAGGTTAAATTCGTGGGTTGGCCCCCACACATGTGGGAGGTCAACCCTTTTTGTCCAAAAGTGTACAATCGGCCCCGAAAGTTGTATTTTTCGGACTGTTTTAAATATATTTTATTTTATCGGGTCAAATAAAATATATTATGTGTTCTTAATCATTATACCCTTTATAATGAATATACATTTCCCAACTTTAATTTATAGGTCTCCGAAATCCAATTTCGGGCTTTTATCGGTTAAATTACCAATACCGGTATTCGGGCCTCTTTTGACCAATCGGTCAACTCTGGGCCTTTCCATTGCTCAAACGAGGTATCCACCACTATATAAATATTATCTTGACCAATATAAATAAAATATATGGTTTCGGGAATTTCGGGCGGCCCCCGCTCCCGGTGTGGGCCCCACGTGCGAATTTACTATTCACGTAAGAGAATAAGTAAAATTCACAACTTCGCATACTCATTAACCATTCCATAAGATTCAATACATTATTCACATAAAGGTAAATGCATTTGGGGACGGTGCTACAATGCCTACGGTGTTCTGATGGCAGAACCCCTCATGGGGTATTCTGATGGCCAGACAGAAGTGCTCGGACAGAAGCCTACGGTGTTCTGATGGCAGAACCCCTCATGGGGTATTCTGATGGCCGCCCATCAGAGATGGGGTATTCTGATGGCCTCCCATCAGAGTTGGGGGTACTCTGATGGCCGCGGATCAGAGTTGGGGTCTTCTGATTGGCCTCCGATCAGAACCCCTCCCAGGGTGTTCTGATGGAGGTCTTCTGTCGCGCTTCTGAAACGTTACAACAATTAATGCCCAACGTTTATATCTTTTAATGCAGCGTTAAATGGACAATTCATGGACGATTCAATGTTCAACAGACTGGTCATTGATGTCCAACGTTCAGGTCCATTAATTCCAATCTGACTTTCCAAAATTTGGTATGATGATTCAATTTGGATTCGGATAAATTGCAACCCACAAAATCCGTTTGGGTTCATCCGACTCCTATTTAAAGGGAGATTTACCTTAATAGGATCAAAACATGGCTTTTTTCTCAAAATAGGAGTACCTAGTTTAAACATCCTTAAATAGGACTTTTTATTAGTGATTGGACCAAAATACCCCTCACAACCTTTACCACTGCTGCCCAGGGACTGCCGGACCGCCGCCTGCCGCCTGCCGCCGCCGCCTGCCGCCTGGCGTCGCCGCCGGAGCTCCGGCGACCGCCGCCGGAAAATTTCCAGATTTTTTTTCTGGAGGTTTGCCAACATTCTGCCGCCACCTGCCGCCGGCCGCCGCCGCCGCCGCCGCGCCGCCGCCGCCGCCGCCGCCGGAAACCGCCTCTTCCACTGCCGCCAACCTGCCGCCACCTCCGGACTGCCCCGCTACCAACGGACTGCCTTGGTTGTGCAAGAGAACTAGGGGGGGGGCAATTAATTGGGTTAATTATTTGCCGGAGTTGCCGCCGCCGCCGCCGGAATCCGCCGCCGGCCGCTGCCGGAGTGCTGCCGCCACCACGGACTGCCACGCCACCGACGGACTGCCTTGGTTGTGCAAGGAAACTAGGGGGGGCAATTATTTAGATTAATTAATTAATTAAATAGAATTAGGGGTAAAAAAGGTAAGGTTAGTCCTATTTAGGGAAAAACATGCATGTGGTCCTATTTTGAGAAAAAGGTTGAGTTTTAGTCCTACCTTGGACAATTTTCTCCTATTTAAACTCCCTCCTCTCCCAGTTCAAGCTTTCGAAACAACATAAACAAGTTTCGAGCATCGGTTCAGTCTCGGGAAACTAGAGAGATGTTTTTCCACATCGTACTGGAGCGAAACATGCAACTCCACCCCCGCCACTTCGGCCGAGATCTCCGGGATAAACTTGTCGCGAAGCTCATGAGAGATGTCGAGGGCACTTGCAGGTTCACTTGCAACCCTAATCCGCACTTTCACTTTCAATCGTTCTTTATCAGTTAGAGATTTTGTACAAATCTTTCATCTTTCACAGTGGCCGGCACGGTTTCGTGGTCGCGATCACCGGAGTCGAGAGCGTAGGCAAAGGCCTGATTCGCGATGGCACTGGTTTCGTCTCCTTCCCGGTGAAGTATCAGTGCGTTGTGTTTCGACCCTTTAAAGGGGAGATTCTTGAAGCTGTTGTTACCATGGTTAACAAGGTCGGATTTTAATTAACAGGTTGAGCGATTGATGCATTTGGGTCTGTTATTTTTGAGCAAGTATTAATCCGGCGTGATGTTTTCAATTTGTGCTTAATTTATCCAGATGGGCTTCTTCGCAGAAGCCGGTCCTGTACAGATATTCGTCTCAAATCATGTGAGTTTTCTTTGGGTTTCTGCGATAAAAGTATAAAACATTATTGTAAATATCAAGTCTATAATGCATTTATTCCTTTGTAGACGGTATCAAGCTTATTTTGGAAGCCATTTTTGTTTTTAAAAAGAATTATTGATCTACACAGTTGGCTTTATAAGAGTAAATTATGTACCAGTCCTTGGTTATCTTATTAACATATACAGAGTGATTCAATGGCACACGCACATCAAATTATTGGGTCTGCTGCACAAAAGGAAACTAAAATTAGATTATTTTTTAGTTAGAGGCATAGTCTTACAATATTGGTAGCATAAGAGGCATAATACTCTCCCTCCTTACCTATAAAACAGTTGTTTATCTTAAAACTTTTTTTGTCTCCAAAAACACATGAAGTCTCCCTTTAAAATCTAACATTCATTTTTAAGTAAAATTCCCGAAAAGCTTTGAGGCAAGTGGTTGTAGCTAATTGCTCCAAACAATCTTTGAGCTAAGCTTTACAGCTATTAATGACCATTTGTTATTTGTAACAACTTGTATATTGATTGAGTTGACTTGAAATAAAAAAAAATTACCTTCGTCAACTTGTATATTGATTGAGTTGCCTAGAGATTAAAAATTTTGCCTTCATCAAACAAGACTTTGGGGAGTAACTTCTATATGCATTGAACTTTTTCTTCTTTTGGTAGAAGAAACACTTATGTCAAGTACTCTTCTTCACTTAGTTGTTAGCGTCCCTCAATTTACTCTCATGATGGTTTACACGTCCTTTGGGTAACACCGTAACACCTACTGAACTGCATTAGCATCACTTAATCTCTCTTTATTAATACTCTGCTTCTTTGCTTTTTCATGTTCAACTATCTATTTTATTGCTTTGCCACAATGTATAGAAAGTCGAATATAATGGAGTCTTTTTTTGTCATGTATCCTGAATGTAGTTTATATTTCCTTTTTGTATAGTTAATACCTGACGACATGGAGTTTCAATCTGGGGACGTCCCAAATTACACAACCTCAGATGCATCTGTATGTAATTATCTCAAATTTTTAATGCTTTTTTTAGTCATGGTTATTTTATGTATCTTCATGCTTTAAAGTTCATACTATCAAATTTCAAGTGACTCTACAGTGCTTGAATAGTTTTGTGTTTTATCTGCCCCATCTTTCAGGTTAAAATTCAGAAAGAGAGCGAAGTTCGATTGAAGATTATTGGAACTCGAGTCGATGCTACAGAAATTGTATGTCATCAAGCCTTCTTTACACACTTTCTCTTTATTGAAGAAAAAGTGTTTTTTTGGTGAACACTTTGATTGAATCTTAACCATTGGTCTAAAAATGGAGGGTTAAGGGATGAAATCAAATTGTTATGTGGTGATGTATTTGTAAATAACAAGGAGTTGGCATGCAAAAAGTGCATCTCTTATGCATTAAAGTGCACATCGTCTGATCCAAAATGTGCAGCACTGAAAAGTGTGGTGGTTCGTAAATAGTGGCTCGCTATATTTGGGGGCTTAAATAGCATTTGTTCCTTAATTTGAATAATAAAAGAGTTTCTTCTTTCTTCTCTAAGTTTCCTCCCTTCCCTTAGTCTTGGGTGAGGACAATCAACAGTCACATGCTTTTCCCATCTAAAGCTCACACACTAATGAAGCATGCCTTTACTATTTGATTTCAATTGGTATAGATTTTTCCATTGAAACGCTTTACACAAGTAAAGAGGAAACGTTTAATAATATATACTTCGTATGTCATTATTATTTCCTTTTGTGTGTATGTTTGTACTTCTATTTACTCTCTGCCTATCATGTATGCTGAATTTTGAATCAGTGTTGTGCTCTAAAAACCCACAAATTTATGTTCGAGTATTTTTTAAAAGAAATAAAGAAAAACCATCCAATCTTATTCTTGCTGCAATTTCATATTTCAGTTCTGTATTGGCACAATAAAGGATGATTTCTTGGGTGTCATTAGTGATCCAACTGTAGCTCCTTGATTTCCTCCCTCTTCATCCGGAGGAAAAGAGAGGTTTCCATTAACAGTCCAAGGCCTTCCACAAGTGGAAGATGGTGTTTGTTTCATAATTTTTGTTAGCAATCTTAGCAGCATGACCATCTCTAGATCTCTTCTATTACTCTATGTCATATTTTATTGATGGTCTTGGCCACTGCCCACTGGTAGTAACTTGTATTTCCCTGCTGCCTTGGTTGTTTGGAATTACTTGAAGCACTGTCGATTCAAGTGTTGACTGTGGGTAGAACTACCTTTAAAAGTGTTATATTTAAAGTGTTATATTTAAAATTTGAACTAAATGCTCGAGTTGAAGACTTGGAGTAAATATGTATTGGGTAGACAAGAATGAGCATAATTATCTTGTTTATGTATCTGATGTAATGTTTTTTTTTCAAACATTGCGTGAATGATAGTCTTAATAGTAACCGACTATCACAGTATCACACGATGAATATGTCATTGTGTATAACTTGTTTGATCTCATTTGTTTTAAAGATTGTTAATTTGTTACAGGGTACATACGTACTATGACTTTGAGACGTTATTTATTTAATGATGAAAATAGTAGTGGTAATGAACAGAGTACTTTAGAAAAAGAGTAAAAAAAAGTAGGAGAGATGTAAAAGTATGAATGAAAAAATAAAAAGTAGTAAAAGTAATAGTAATTTAATAATGTTTTTCAATAATTTATGTAACCAATTTTTAGATTGAATTTTAAATTGAAATTTTATAAAGATAATACTCCCTCCGTCCCTCTAACAATGGAACAAGAGAAAGTGACACACTCATCTATAAAAAGTAGTTTATGTGGTTGATATTAAATTGATAAACTAATAATAAAGTAAGAATGGTTTAGACTTTAGAGTCACACAAACTTTACCAAATAAGATACTCTGTCTAAGACAATTTTAGTGGGACAGATCGAAAAGGTAAAATGGAACAATCTTAACGGGGTTTAATGCACCAAACCCCCCTGTGATTTGGAAATTCAGCGCATTAGCCCCCTGTGATTTAAAAAATGCGTCAAACCCCCTTGTGTTTTAATTAATCATGCACAGAACCCCCTTTATGAATAAATTTAATGATTTGAAAATCACTTTTCCTAATATTTTGATTGAATATGCAAATAAATATGTCAAAATTTCTGAATCATACAAAAATGTTAATCATTTTTCTTTTATTTGATAATTGAATTTGTTCACATAAGGGATTTGGCACATGATTAATTAAAACACAAGGGGGTTTGACGCATTTTTTAAATCACAGGGGGCTAATGCGCCGAATTTCCAAATCACAGGGGGGTTTGGTGCATTAAACCCATCTTAACGGGACGAAGGTAGTATATACTTCACGAAGAATGTGTCTTCAAAATTTTATCAAAAATAATCTGAAAGACTGAAATACCTCAAGTGGGTTTTGTCGGACAGGACATTCGCTCGGGCGCGTTAGACCATGTAAGAGTATCTCTAATGAGAGATGTCCACATAAATATTACTCGTAGTAAATAAATTCTTTCTTTCCTTGTTTGAATAGTTTTAAACAATTTTGGTAAACTTTTATCTACAATGTCAAGAAGACCGTCTAGATCTTGACATTGTGGTTGACATTACAGAGAGAAACTTACCAAAGTTGTATGTAAAATCATTTAAATAATGAGAGAGATAATTTAATTGCTGATATTTATGTGAATATCTCTTATGCCACATGTGCATCGTGCATAGGGGGTGAGAATAGGCCAGACGGCTTGTAGGGGGCCTGTGGCATGGCCTGCTTAAGGCTTGGCCTCACCTGTTTAATAATCAAAGTAGGCTTGGGCTTTTCGAAAATCACATTTACCTAAATATGTCAGACTTAGCCCAACTCTAAAGTCTATTTAACTTAACAGGTCGGCCTATTTATATGTGTATGTATATGTTTGTATATATATTTAGTTGTATTTATATTTATTTGTATTATTTATACTACCTCCGTCCCACATTGGCTGTCCACTTTCAATTTGGCATGATTATTAATAAAGTGGTTGGAAAAGAAAAGTTGTGGTTGAGATTTGCGTATAATAAAATGAAATGATAACGACCACATATTTCTTGCCAAAAAATGAAACAAGACATTCATTTTGGGACAACCCAAAATGGAAAGTAGAACAACCAAAACGGGACAGAGTGAGTATTATACTCCGTATTAGTATAATTAACTATAGCAAATTAAGCATAATACCGGAGTAGTATTTTTATGAAGTGTGTATTATATAAATACACACTTAATTACACACTTAATATTAGGGTAATTGAAATTCAAAGTTTTTGAAGATTTGAAGTACAAAAAAAAATTATAAGCTACATAATTAATGTGTTATTAGACATTCAAAGCAAACCTAACGTATTATTAGACTTTTTAGTGAATATTTGGGGGACAAAATTTATATCGGGCTAAAAGGATTCTTTTTTTTTTTTGAACTTTTGATTTTTTTCTTAATTGGCCCACTAAACAGGCTTCATGCCAGGTCAGGCTTTTCAACAGGCCAGACTCAGGTCAAACAAACAGGCCTTTAACAAGTAGTAGACCAGGCTCAGGCCTATTAGTTCTAAAACAGGCCCGGCCTGTTTCGGCAAAAGCCTGACCTGACCTGTTTCCACCCCTAACCGTGAACATTGTAACATTGGTGATGCTTTAAGTTGTCTATATATGTATGTCTGAACACACAGGCGGACACACACACACACATATGTGTGTATATATATATATGTGCGTGTGTGCGTGTATACCGTATATATGTACATATAATTATCACATTTTTATATAAAATATAAAAATATAACATTTGAAAATAAAGTTGAAGAATATCTTTTAGTATATTTTATAAACCCTCGAACTTACATATAAAGTGCAAATCACCCACTTATATATGAGGTTCTGTCTGGCCGTCGTCATTTGGGACGGTTCCCGATGGAATTTTTTGATAATTGTTTTTGAGAATCTTTTTCATTAATTCTAGTGTACCCATATCAAATTTCAGCTAAAACTTCAACTGGAAAGACAATTAAATGATTTTTTGAAATAAACTGCGCTGTTGTGTTGCGCAGTTATCTTCAAAAAATCATTTGACTGCCTTTCCGATTGAATTTTTAGCTGAAATTTGGTATGAGTAAACTGAACTTAATGAGTAAGATGCTCAAAAAAAATTCATCAAACAATTCCATCGGGAACCACCCCAAATGGCGACGGCCGGACAAAACCTCCTATATAAGGGGGTGATTTGCACTTTTTATGTAAGTTCAAGGGCTTATTTGATAGTTTTCCCTTAAATTTTTTTATTTTGAATCTAACGCAAAATATAAATATTTCATATTTATATGTTATATTTTTACTTGTATTTTATTTATATTTTTATTTTTCGTAATTCTGACACTCTTTAAAGGTGGAGGGTTAACACTATTTCAAGGTGTACAAAAACTCATACAAGCAAGTTAAACTGTATTATGCACTCTTTTTTCATGTTGGAATCTATAAACCTATAACCAAAATCTTTCCAAACAGGTGGAATCTTCCTAATCTTCCAAAACAAGACTGTAATCAACCAGTTTCAGATAAAATATTCTAAACAACTAGAACTGAGTTTTTCTTGATGAGATTATTGGGATTTTGAAAGATCCCTGACATAGAAAATTAGTAACTGAATATTGTAAAAGCAGATTTTTAGAAGGGAAAAATAATTAAAATATCCCAAACTTTGAAAGGGTATGAGATGAACACCCCAAACTTGCATATGTAATTGAAATACCCCAAACTTTATATTAAAAGTTATTTTAGCACCATAGGCAAATATTATTTCTTTCAAAAATGTAAATTTATGGGGTTAATTGCATAATTTAAAAAATTTTAGAATACATGAAGACACAATTAATATAATATTCTTAACTTCCTTTGCAAAATAAATAATGTTACCTCCAATCTATATATAAAATTGCAACATTTTTAATTTTCTATTTTAACTTATGCAATTAACCCCATAAATTTACATTTATGAAAGAAATAATACATCAAAATGGTGAAAAAATAACTTTTTATATAAACCTTTGGGTATTTAAATTACAGGAAAAATAAATAAAATACCCCAAACATTGAAGGAGTGTGAGATAAACACCCCAAACTTTCATGTGTAATTTAAATATCCCAAACTTTATATAAAAAGTTATTTTAGCACCATAGTCATATATTATTTTTTTCAAAAATAGAAATTTAAGGTGTTAATTGCAGAATTTAAAATAGCAATTTAAAAATGTTGCAATTATATAGAGTGGGAGTAATATTTTTTTATTTTACATCGGAAGTTTAGAATGTTAATTGTATCTTCATGAATGCTAAAATATTTTAAATTATGAAATTAAAATTACAAATTAACATTTTTGAGAGATATAATACATGACCATGGGGCTAAAATAACTTTTTATAAAAAGTTTGGGGTATTTACATTACATATGCAAGTTTGGGGTGCTTACCTCACACCCGCTCAAAGTTTGGGATATTTTTATTATTTTTCCCTTAAATTATATATGCAAGTTTGAGGTGTTTACTTCACACCCCTTCAAAGTTTAAGGTGTTTTTATTATTTTTCCCTTTTAAGAACTAATATGATTAATTGTTGAGTGAGATTCCACAATGTAAATGGAGGTAGATAAATGAAGAAGAGGATTAAACAAAAATTGTTACACTTTTTTTGGATGTTAGTCATATTACGCTTATTTGTTGTTAGATCAAAATTGCTAGAAGCACCTATTTGATCTCTCTGCATCCTAATTCCTACAATATTACTCTAATTATTACGCTACTTAAAGTTGAGATGTGTAAGTATATTATTACAAACTATTATTACGTATTTTTACTATCCACTAATCCTGATTTTTGTTGCAATCCTTTCATGTGAATATACATAAATTTGTCAATGCTCTCTTCTACTTTGCATGTGTAAAATGAATTAATGATTGTTGTACGTCATACCAAATTACCAATTAAAATGTACGTCTCCCTCCCAAATCAAATATCTCGGTAAAGATGTAAAAGTTAAAAGTTTTAATAAAGTGATTGAAAAAATAAAAATTTTGAATGATGTTTAATTAGAAAAAGGTGAAATGAGATCAATTACATATTAGTGCTAAAAAAGAGAAAAAAAAACAATTTTTGGAACATCTAAAAAAAGACCATTGTTTCTCAACGGTCTGTTATGAAATGGAAAAGAAAGAAGCTAATGAAATTCTCTCAAACGTTCTCAAGCACTTGAAGGAATTTGTCATACTTAAGGGTGGACTCGGGCCGGTTCGGGCCTGGGCCCGGTTGGTCCTCGGTTCAGGAATGGGAGGCCCAGAACCGGCCCGGGTAACCCCGGGTCCGGCCCGGGCCTCGGTTCTATTTTTTTTTTTGCTTTTCCTAATTAACCCCCAACCCTCCCCCCTCACCCCCAAACCACCTCAAATGGCCCAAAATACCCGGCCCAACCCAAAAACTTAAAAAAAATTCAAAAATAATAATAATAATAATTTG